ATGGCAGTGAGTGTCCACACTTGGTGTCGGGGCGAAGCCAGGAAGATGGAACCTCTCTTTACAAGGAGCGTGTGCATCTCTTCTTGTGTAGGTGCTCATGTACATGTCAGAATGTGTTGAGCAAATGAGATACTTTATAAAAAGTGATTTTCAAAGTCTTGCACTTTTGTTGTCCTGGTTTTAAAAATAAATTCAAGTGGGAGGAAATGGTTTAAAATAGGTGGGAGCTGTGCAAAGTCTGGGACTGATCCTATTGATAACTGACTGTCTAGAAGGGTTCCCTGTACCTTCTCCTGCTGGGGACCGTGAGCTTGTACGGGACCCTCTGATCTGCGCAGGGTTAAGCGCAGCGTGTTACCGAAGGCAGATCACCTGCTGCATGTCACTGTTGAGTTACAGGTTCGATGCAGTGCTTGACAGCACACTTTGTTTGACATTGTTCCTAACCAGCTGATTGACAGGTATGGGATGACTTTGTTCTTCCTTCGTCATGGGACCTTGGCTGTCACCGTAGTGGAGGTGGTTCTCTGCCTCCAGGCTGTGGAGATCACTGAGAGAAGCATGTTTTCTCCTCAGAGTGAGCCTCTGGGGATCTGTCTTTCTACCTGTTGTTACCGTTGGTGTGACATGCGTGTTTAGGAACAGCCCTTTCTGTTTGTTCTCTCTGTCTATGATGGATGTACTTCTGGAAAGCAGGATGTCATAGAATCATAGAATGGTTTGGGTTGGAAGGGACCTTAAAGCCCATCCAGTTCCAACCGTGCTGCCACGGGCAAGGACACCTTCCACTAGACCAGGTTGCTCCAAGCCTCATCCAGCCTGGCCTTGGACACTTCAGGGAAGGGACAATCCTCCCTCTATAACCTATGTTAAGGTGTGCCATGGATGTGGTGCAGGTATTTTCTTGTGCTTCTGCAGTATTTATTGCAATAATGCATGCTTTGTTCTGTCCTTCGCCTTTGCCAAACATCCTCATGTGCTGTAAGAAAAGGACTGTCTGTGGTCATCAGTCATACAGGAATGTGTGAACCTTTTCTGATAAACTGTGAGAATTTAAAGGAGTTTTGATGAATAACTTGCTTTTGACTAGTAACCAGAGTATAAAACAGCCTATGCCCATGTGACTAGTAGTTGCATATCTGTCCCTTACCTGTTCAGGTTTTGGGGTTACTTACTTAGGACAAACATGGCATTTTTATTTCAGCATTGGTATTTGCATTTCTAAATGGTGTTACTGTGCATAATATCTTGTTTAACCTGTTTGTGGATGGCTTTACATCACCGAGGTACAAAGCTTATTTCAGAGGAACCAAAATGGTAGACCTTTGATAAGAAGATACCAGAAACTCTTGTAAGTTTTTGACTTTGCATGCGATGCTTAGCTTAACTCTTGCTAGTCTGGTTTTGTATGTAGTAGGCATTGGCATGCATATAATCAAAATGACTTGAGAAAATAGGTTCTGCCCAATAACTTGTTCAAGACTTGCTTCAATAAATTATGTTAAGCTTTGCTGCTTTCTGTAAATTGCTTTGGCACTCACTTTAAAATGTAATTTCAAAGAGTAAAATTGTATTATAAGTATTCTGGACAACCTAGTACAGAGAATTTCTCAGGGCAAAATACCAAGGCAATATGGCCTGCAGTACAGATTTACCAACCATGTATGACGTTGTACTGTTGTGATGGGTATTATACGGTTTTTGGATGGTTTTTATCTGTTGTCTTTCAGTCTGAGCTTCAAAAATAGCATCTCTCCTGTAGGGAAATCAATCTATTACAAAAGTAAAAATAAATGTGGCAGTTTTTATTCATGCACACAAATCCAATAATAAATCCAATTAGTATATACCCATCTATATCCTTAAAATATGAGGAAATAGATGAGCTTTGTCACTTATCTTGTAAACCACAAAATCTGGGCTGCTTGTGGTCAGGGTTGTGTTGTCATCATTAAATTATGAATTTCCAGTTCTCTTAAGGTGCCTCTGCTTGCAGCTTTTCCCTGTTTATCAAATGATTTCTACACAGTCTCTCTTCGGTCATCCAAGTGGCAGGGCAGCTGGGCTGCAGTCCCCAGCTGACAGCACCTTTCTATGGGTCTGTGCCCTGAGCACCCAGGCCCAGCCTGTTGGCACTGGCTGTTAAAGTGAAGCCCACTGGGACAGGTTTAACCAGCAAACCCTTATTGCTGAAATAGCGTTCTCTACATCCCAGAGCCAGTGAAGCCCTCTATGGAAAACTGCTTGTTACGTTCCTAATGATTGCTACATCGGTAAGAAAATATCTAAACATCCCTTGCATTTCGTCTACGCTGTAGGACCAAAAGATGCGAACATGGTATGATGTTTATGCTTTATGAAAGGTTTTCCAGGATGGCCGTTGGCCCTAAGCTCCTGAAGGTCTGTCGGCTGCAGGAGTACTGCACCCTTCCTTGAATGGCAATTTTGATAAAAGCTGGTAACTACAGTTCCTGCTGTGTAAGTGAATTCTTTTGGGTACATGATGGACGGGGAGGAGGAAATACAGATTACAAATGCTGAATATGAAGCAAACAGGATGTTTCTGCCTTCTGGCATTTCGACGTAGTTGCAAGTAACTCTTTTGCTGTTGCTTTTAGTAAGAGAAAAGGACTTAGTCCTAGCTTTCTGGCTCATGAAAGCTAAATGCTGTTATCATTGTGCGTTCAGTTACGTGCAAATTAATGTTAATCTCTGCTAAATAAAAGAACTGAATGTAGAAAGTAATATGAGTGTTAAGTTATTCCTGGTGTAACTCCGATGCAAAATATATTGCTTTATCCTTTTCAAAATGCTCTTTGCACCTTAGGAGCATTTGCCACTGTTATTTAAAGGGACTTGCACAAGTATTTTGTTCTTCAGGGAATAGTTGCAAAGCTTGTTGATGACTTCAGGGATATGACTGAACTTTCATTTTCGAGTAACAATGAGCTTAAAGTGTGGCGTGAGGTGCGTAGCAGAAGAGCACAGTGTAACTCCAGCTTTCAGTTAAGTCTTTATTTCAGTTAAGTCTTTATTTCTAGTTATTTCATTTGTACTCGGTGAGTGTTTTTGTAGGAAAGCTTCCTTGTCTTTGTAGTGAAACTGTATGCTGTGGGATATAACGTCCTTTTGTCATGCTATTATTATTGTGCAGGAGGGGGGGAGGAGAAATTGGCATTCATCTGTGTGACCTTGTTTACTCTAAGCTCTTAAAAAATTGTCAGTTATCATTAAATCATAATTTTTATTCCTTAATGCCTCCCAATCAAGACTGGAGCTGCTGTTACAAAGCACCTCTGGAGCTTGCAAGCTGATACGTAATGTGCCTGTGTTGGACAGGGGAGATGAAGTGTCACCTTTGCATTTGAACTGAGTGGGGGGGTGGGTGGGTTTTGAACTAGCTCTTTATGATGTGTTGCAGGGAGATAGGAAGCTGTTTCAGAACAGAATCCCACCACAGGAGCTGCGTGCAATGATAGGATAGTCCTACTGAAAAAGCTTAAACAAAAAAATAGAGAACAAGTGTCTGACTTGTTCATGTTGGAGCTGTTGCATCCTTCCCCGGGAGAATGTGGTGCTTTGACAAAACTGAGTCAGAAACTTGATGATGAGTCAGAAAGTTGAAGGTTTAAAGGTCTGTGACTGGAGAACAGTACCAGAAAAAGGGAAGGAAACTATCATCCAGCTGAGAGCAATTTCAACAGCGCTGTAGCAACAGGCAACAGAAGCAGCTGCATAAAGCTTTGTCTGTGTGGAGGTGAGGAGTTGTAAATAAGAAATTGCTGTGGATTATGTGGAAGCTCAGATAATCGCCATGATGCAGAGACTGATGTAAAATCCTGTAGCGGCAAGAAAAATAGGAAGTTCCTGAAGGAAAAGTGACAAACTGAGATATGTGGCATTGACTGATGGGACACTTCAAGGTGAATGCTACATACGTTAACTTGTGTGAGTTCCAAAATAGGCTATTTTAGCTCCTCCTTCTGACTGGTGAATCAGAAGGACTGTATGTGTGTGAGATGTTCAAATAGCTTTTGTCCTGGGCAGTGAGATAAAAAGACTTGAAATACAGGAGGAATCATGCAGTTTGATTTCTTGCAGAAAGGAAGAGAGAAGGAATTGGCTTCCAACATGGCAAGCTCGTCTGCTAGGAGTAGAGTGCGCTTCTGGCTTTGTTTCTCTTAATTGGAATGGAATTGTGCAAGTTATAATTACTCTGGTAAAACTACTGTCACAAAAGCAGTGGGATCTTCAAGGATCATAGAAGATTGAGACTGACAGATTGAGGTTGCTTTGGAGGAGATATCGATAGCATTGCCGTGCTGTCGTTTATCACTGTGTACTTGGCTCATCACTGGTACCTGATGAATGTTTCCAACAGTGCAAACTAAATTTTCTCGTTATTCTCCTTTGACGAAAATTGGGTGAAGTAAAAATGTTTACATTACATCATTGCTAGCCATCTGGAAAAAATCTAATTTAGTCTGTCCATAAAGTAGAGCTGGAATGCTTCATAAATCTGTAAGTTATTTGCAGTATGTTTGGCTTTACTGAGAAAAAGTTTGTTGTTTCTTTACACTCTCCCTTTAGAGGGAAGAATCTCCTGTTGGCTCTTCAAGAGTTCATGGCAGTAGCCTGACAAAACTTCTCTGATGGTCACTGGATGCTGATTCCATGATGTTCAATGAGGCCCAACATTTTTATACAACAATGAGATTTTGAGGTGTAAGGTTGTCTTTATTGTTCCCAGCTTTTTTGGTTAAGGATGCGGTAAGGCTTATCCTCTTGCTGAAGAGGAGAATTTTTGTACATCAGCTGTTCTTGAAGTACTCATCTACAGAATGACTTGGGTGTCAAAGAAGTTACTTTATTTATGAGTGCAAGAATCCATTTTTTTGCCATGGGAAGAAATATGAAAATTGGTATTTGTCAGGTGTGCAAGTTTGTGTGTGTAAGATATGTGGAAGTTGCTAATTCTGTGTCTCTGTCTTACCTAATAGATCATCTAAAGCAGCTGAGCATTTGCAAAAGAAGACTTCGCCAGCACATATATACTTAATCCATAAATCAAGTTCAACGATGCATTAGAGGAAGCTGGACTGGCTGTACAGAGGTTTCACACTGAAGGATGAATAGTGAAGAAGAGTTTTATGATGCCGTTACGGGTGAGTGTTGGGCACAGTGCCCCAAAGAAAAAATCCCCAAACCCACAAAAATCCAGCTATAAGCTGTGTGGTGAGGGCTAGTAATGTATTGCTGTTAAGAAATAAAAAGTAAGATGCTCTAGGTGAAAGTTGTAGTGCTATCTTTAGAGAAGAAGGAAAGAAGAATTATAATTCAGGTTCAGACTTGGAAATGAAGGTTTTTTTATTAAAGCTTAATGATGGCTATCATAACTATAACAGTCCTTTAGTGGTAACATCTTGCTTTCATTTTCGGTAAAATGCAGATAATTTAATAGTGGCTTTAGGACTAATGCTTTTAACACTCTTTGGAAGGTGAAATACCTTCCATTGGTTATTTTATTTATTTATAATGGAAAACTTATCCTGAAGAATTGAAGTAGAAAATATTTTTCTAGTCAGAAACAAATTACAGTAAAAGTGTGCTTTCAAGATGTGGAGCCAGAAGTCTCTGCAACCCAGTGGTGTTTCTAGAAAAGCAAACATGAATCACTTCATACTTGAGCAGTGTATCAAACAGTACTTTTCTTTGAAGTAGTAAGGATGAATGGGTGTTTATAAGAGCCCTACACGGTTTTAGTGCTGAAATAAAATGCTTAAAGTATTTTAATAAAAAAAAGAACTCCTTTCAAAGATCGCAAACAATTTTGAAGTCTTCCACTTGAATGTCTTCTCAGAAACCCTGTAATAGATGTGAAATGAGAAATGCTGGTGATGTTGAGTGTCGAGTGCTTAGTGCAGAACCACCGGAATAAAAAGAGAATAATGGGAAGCATGAAAGGTGAAGGAATGGAAGTAGCGTGGTAGATACAAGTGGGTGAGGTAGACTTAGACATGGTTGGTTGGAAATCTATGAGAGGAGTAAACAGAGGGGAGGGACTGGGTGAAACAACGTGACTGACAGCGGGCTGTACAGGGCTTGTCACAATTATGTCACGGAGAAGAGAAGGAAATTCGGATTGCATTGATGCTAGCTAGGAGTGATAGGGGCTAGTACTTCAAATTCATCTGTAAAATCAAATCATTGTACTATAAAAATCTTGAAAACAAAACTGTATGTCTTTAGTAATCTTTCAGTTCCAAGAGCTCAGGACCACGGCCATAAGTGAACTAGATTTTTTTCTTCCCCACTGGAAAAGGTGAACAGAAATGTGCCTGTAACGTATGCGGTCTGTGCCACACAGCTTTGATGCATTCCTTTGTCTCTTGTTGTAGAAGTACACAGCCCTCGGTCATCTGCATTTGAACAGTCTGGTTTTCTCCTCCTTCCTTCTCTTTTTCCCCTTTCCTCAACCTCAAAGCATTGATTCTCCCTCCAAGTGCTCAAGGTGGTAATGAGTTCGGAGCTACTGTATGTGAGATGTTCTTGTACCTTGCAGTCTTGGCTGGCTCTGCTCGGAAGTGGGATGTTGTGCTGCAGTTCTGTGACTGCTCCTTGTCTCGTCCTAATCTTACTCTTCCACCGGGAGGAAAGTGATGAGAGATTTTTCTAAGCAAAACAATATCCAGTGTCTTGATAGGGCGCTCTGCTGAAGAAGGGTGTTTGGTCTGCAGCAGCCACTCCAGGAACTGGATGAGGTGGAACTTTTTTCCCTTACATATGCTGTCCTGGAGCATGCCCCCCAGACACTTGATTTCACATGACTGCTAAGTTTGGAATAAATTATTTCAGATTCTTTGTCCTCCAGGACTCTTTAAAGACAGGTGCTCAATCTCCTTCTCCCGCTAGATGCGTTAGCAGAAGCTGACAGTTTGATGGATTACTTGGAAAAACCTAGTGAAGTCTAGACCTAGTTCTAGCTGTGTCTTGTCCAGGTCATACATGAATGTGATGCTGAGAACAACAGTGTTCGTGCTCCACAACTGCCAGTGCCTATAGCAAATCTTTGCTGCTGTTAGCACCATGGACTGTGCACCTTTCAGGTGGGGCTTTGCTGATTTTTTTTTTTAGGTTCTAATGGCCCCTGATTGTGCCTGCCTATCTCCTAGTATTTGAATGGCCTGGACATGGTAGGTGTAGACACAGTACTCCCAGGAGACCAAGGTCAGAATCAAGGTCCTTTCTGAGCCTAGGTGAACTTTCATGTTCCACAGTGAAAACTTCAGGATTTATGGCTCCAAATCTTGATTAAAAAAAAGAAATGCCCTTGGCAGACTCCTCAGTCTGGTCTTTCCAAGGATACTCTCCTTCCTTTAGGTCAGATCAGTAGATGGGCAGAAACCACCCTTATACATGTGCTTGTTCAGCTTATAATTCGAGGACTGGGACATAACTACCAGGAACAAGAACATTCTCCAGCTGTGTCTTAGCTCCATGTTGGGAGGAAAACAGCATATGAACTCTGTTCTTCCCCTCTTGCTCTCCCTGAGTCCTGGGCCCTGGTTTCCCCAAAGAGAGCTGCAGTGTGTTCCCACAAGTTCACTGACTTTGATAATTTGGTAGGTGGTTTGTGTCTGAGAAGTAGCAAACCAGGCTTAGTAGAGCACCTGAACTCCGTGGGAAGTTACACGCCTAGAATTCTGCAGCAGTCTCAGCAGCAGGCCAAGTAGTATGCTGCCTCTTAAGATACTAGGAGTTCACTTCTTGAGGAAGCCACAACTTTTCTGTAGTTATTAGTTAGTGACATCCACTTCTGGAATGTTTATCTATCCAAAAGAGACCCCTGGTTTTTATTGTGGTAGAATTTCTCAGCTTGAGAAGTTTCCTGCTTCTGACACTGTCCCCATCACATGCAAAAGAAATGCTCATGTGGTGGTGTTGCATGCTGTGTGGTTGGGAATCCTCCTGGCAGATGGTTTGACCCTGACTGGACGATGATTACATGTGTAAATGTGCAGGATGGACTGCATTATGTAGGTGAGGAATTGAGTCAGTGACTGGTAAAGAGTTTCTATGGAGAGACGTTTCTTTGCATTCAGAGGTTGTTAGCATTGCTGATTGGTTGGAGAGTTGACATCCTCATTTCATGACTGAGTACTCCCCCTGGGAATCTCTTGGAAATGTTACCTGTGGTCTCAGTTAGTTGTTGGCAGCACGGCATCTGCTTTTTTCTCAGAGGCAGGAGGTAGTCTTCTCTGAGTCTGGATCAGGTAAAGTGGTCAATTCTTCGATGATTTTCAGATTTTTAGAAATTTTATGTGGGGAGGGGGACCATACAGCTTTTATGTAGCATATAGCATCCCTTGCCTCTAGCCTGTCACCTTGTGTTTATTAACCTCATTGCAGACTTGTTAAAGACTGACAGAGCAGAACCTGATGGCAAACAGAACTGTGTCCTTCATTAATTCTGTCAGATACCTATTTGCCAAAGTCTTGTGAAGGAATTTTTACAGAACAGGAAGACACTTGGCTCGTTACCAGGCTAATTTATTTTTGACAAATGTGAATAGTTCGGTTTTGCCTTTTTAAATACTAACTTGCAGTTCTACAGAAATCTCCTGTCCTGTGCCCATGTGGTTAACCTGGCCCAGTGTATTTGTGAGGACATGGCCCTTATTGCTTGGCTGTGGTTCACTCTGAACTGTTACAGCCTGGGCAGGAGGAAGTGAGGTATCTGCTGCCAAATCTGTATATTTTCATTATATCTGGATCAAACTAAATCAGCAGGTTCTGCCATAATGTTTAAGTATTGCAGGCCTTGTGAAAGGCCAGCCTGCGTCCTGTCAGAGCGGCTCAACACGGCTACGCATTGGCAAGATAGACTTGCTCTGAAATGTGGGGAATGACTATTCCTGGCAAAGAAAAAATTACCTCTCACTTCACTTGTGATCTACATTTCTAGTGTATTTATCCTGATTCTTTATGCCCTTTTTAGGTCTGGAGGTTCTCAGCGCTACGCTCTTTTGATTCCCTTTGCCTTGAGTGACAAAGCTTAATTAATGTTTAAGGAAGTTGCTGAATGTACAAAAGGGGCGGTCTTGTCTTCATGCATGACTCAGCGTGCCTCTGCTCCTCGTAGGCGGATGTGTAGCATAGTCTGAGTGGACTTGTTTCGTTTGCAGGATGTGGAGGAAGAACAAAGCTAAGAAACCTAGAGTCACTGGCAAGTCACTTCTCTTTAAGCTCTTGAAATAACTTAAATTGGGTGCCAACATTAATCTGTTTGACTTAGAAAATCTAAGACTTTTTAGAAGCTTTTGTTTCATCCTTAACACACATAAGTTGGGATTTTTGATTAAACTGACTTTTGACATGCTACTTCTGTGTGTGGTCCCCTGTCCCCCTTTTAAATCCCTGTTTTTATCCTCATTCCCAGTGGCTCTTAGATAAGTAAACTTACCTACTTGGTTTTACAAGTCCATGGCTTTAATGGCACCTGGAGAAAGACTCTTTTTGTATAACAAATCATTTCACTAAACTGTTTTTATTCCAGATCAATACTTCCTCTGTGAGGAACACACTCTGGATAGTTCTTTGCAGGACTAAAATACTTAGAACTTCATTAAGAAACCATCTTTAAAACTTTCTTAATGGGCTGGTAGTGGACAAGCCAGGTGACACTTAAGGATGAAAGCATAGTTGAAACTCTGGTGATTATCTAGCTGTGTACCCTAGGAGTTTTTTTAAAAGTAATGAGGTGGAGATGCATTCTAATAAAGCAGATTTTACACTCCTGATATATCTTATTTTTCTGGAGCAAGGATTTAATTTTGCTTGTTTGTATGCAAGATGCTTGTTTAATTTGGCATTTATTTACTTGGCATATTGTTCATAAATAATATATATGCCTGACTCTAAATTGCCATTGTGCTGTACAGGAACAGGGCAAAAGAATTCTGTATGATGGAGAAACAGAAAGACTAGTGTGGGTAAAAACAATGAACATTTGACAGGATTTGCAAGGTTTTGGGTACCATGTAAAGAGTGTAATTCCAGTAATGTTTTTCGTAACTATTACCCTAAAAGCCAGTTGACTACTCTTGTTATGAAGCTTTACTTTTACATTTTGCTGTGTTTATCTCATTGAAGTGCCCGTTAAAGGTGATGCTGTGCCTGGTGTTGTATGTGCATATCAGCTTTCTAGGTGAGGGCGTGTGTTTTTTCCAATTTCATCAGTCACACTAATAAACGTTATTTTGTTCTGACCTACAGTACTTGCCTTTTCCATCTCCTTGTACTGTAAGTGGTGACTAAAAAAGCTAATATGTGGTTCAAAATGCCATTTTTAAACTAAATATTTTGTTGTGGCTTGACTGAAGATAGGCATGTGTGTTTAAGACAGGTGTTTCAGGGTACTCTTCATTTTAATGACCTGAATATACATATGACTATCATACTTTCCAGTTAAGTACTCAGTCTCCTAAGGAGTGGTTATTGCTGTATAATTACATGCTTGTGACATCAAAATGTAGGAGATGGTTTAATACATGACATCACCCATTAGACCTGCTGTTTACCAGATACAATCGTATCGGTGGCACTTCCTCGTGCAGTTTTGAATGTTATGGTCTTGGTCCCTTAAAGAAATGCAGGTTTTTGTTTTGAAGGTGTGCCTTGCCTGAATTGCTCTAGTGAAGTCAAAGCACCCTATTGGAGATGTTAACAAAAAGAGAAAGTATTACTTAGGCTATATGCTTTCTATTTTTAAAAAGTTAATGACAGAGGATCACATTTTCTTCTATTTAAATGAAATCATCTTCATCAAAACTGATTTCTTTCCTCCATTAGAGTGTCTACGTGCTTTGTAATCTTTTGGAATCTCTATATCCCCACAGCTGGATTTTGGGATGGCTGTAGCTGGGTGTGATGGTAGCTGTCAGCACACAGAGAGGTGGTTGCCCAGTTTGTGATAGCTGGAATGGAAGGACTACAAAAAACGATGTTAGTGTATTCCTTAAAACTGTGGCGAGAGTTGTACGCCAGCCGATACGCATGTTGTCGTGTTGTGTTTGCATTCTGACTCTTGAACTAGAAGCTGGAAACGAAAGTAGTCTTGTGGTTCTTGATGAAGAATTGACCCTTGTGGCACTCAGGGCTTAGTACTCTTCCAGTTATTTTCAACAGACATGTCCCTGTGTTACACAGAATGCCCAGCAGTGTTTTCTGTTGTGATACTGCGCCAGTTGCCATGGGGGATTGTATTAATGCCTCGGTTCAGGGTGCATTGATGCTGCAACTGAGGCTTGATGGCTGTTACCAAGTGCTCTGTTTCGGCAGTCAGGCTGTGCAGCAGCACTGACCAGAGACCTGTTGCTGTAGGTAGTGACCAAGTGTGTGTGTATATATGCTTAAATGTTAACGTTTTCTTATTTAAAGGCATATGTAAAAATAAATTGTTGCTATTCTAGCATATGGGGGTGAAGTAGCGTGACTTAAAAATCAATTTATTAGACTAAAATCTTCAATTCTTGGTTTAGTCCAGCTTATACTTAAGGCTGCTTGATTACAAAAGCTTGTGTTCTGTATATTCCTTTTGGTTTAACTGGTTTTGATGGTTAAAGCTGTTCAAAGCACGTTGTTGCTTACAACGGTGTTTCCAGTAGCTGTCTACCCAAGTGGATGGAATTTGGGTCGTAGGAAATGGAGCTGCTTCCTGTAGGTCGTGCTTTGGGGCGCTTGTAGAGCTCAGAGGATGATTCATTTTGCTGTCCACAGGTTCTGGCTGTAATCATTAGGGAATGTTATATGTTTTGCACACATGGGTGGCAAAAAGAAGTTAGATATCCTAAGTTTCTGCTGCTGTAGTATTTTGGATGTTTACTGCTGGACTGTGAAATGGCCATTTTCTCTTCTTTTTGCTCCTTTTCTGTTAGCAGTAGAAGTAGGCGAAGTTAAGGGGTTTTTTAAGGTCTTTGAGGAAAACTATGTAACTGAAGAAAATTACTGTAATCACACTTCTCTGGAGAAGAGACAATACAGCTAATCTGATTAGGAGTTGCTGAAGAACTCATAAGCTTCTAAATTGGTTTTATATTCAGCAGTGTGAAAAATTAGTTGAGAATGCTTGATTCTAATGCAATACTTGACTCTAAATACTCTTGGAAATCAGGTCACTTAATAAAGGGTTTTCACCCTGATATTCTTTAAAATAACCTGGTATAAGTATCCTTGTTCTTTAAAATAAAATAACCTGGTATAAGTATCCTTATGCTGTGAGAGTTACAAAATGTGAGCACACTCTGTGGCATAATAAGGTTCCTAAGAAAACTGTTGCCATATGGTTTTTATACAGGCTTTGATTCTGACAACTCCTCAGGAGACTTCTCGGAAGCAAATCATAAAGTTGGAGAGATGCTTGATCTAGATCCGCACCAAAGCAATAGGACTGGAAAGCATAACGGAGAGACAGAGATTCAGGAAAATGGAATTAAGAGACACAGGTAAACACATAGCACTGCATAAATGAGGAGTGAGTACGTGCTGGCTCATCAGCTTTTGGGGCACTACTGTTGTCAGTGGAAGAGGCTCTTTCTCTGGAACTGAAGACATTTCACTTGCCTGCTTCCTCTGCCAGCTCTAGGTTAATGCTTTGCTTCCTTTATAAATTACTTCACTACCTACAAATGAAAACGTCTTGTTTAAGGGGCTGATAATCATAGTTGTTTTTTTCCAATTACAGGACATCATTACCTGCCCCCATGTTTTCTAGAAGTGATTTTAGTGTATGGAGCATATTAAAAAAATGCATTGGACTGGTAAGTTAGCTTGGATGAAACGTGCTGATGTTATTCTTTAAATCTTAAGGCACAGAATAATACCTGGTGCATTTTGCATTATTTTTTTTTCTGTAGGTAACATAATCTTAAACTACAACTCTCTAAATCTCAACATGCATGTACTAGCGGTACTATTTCCTTGCTTGCTTTTGCTGTTGGGGCATGTGGATTGGCTTTTCTAATGCTGTCCTATAAGAACTAAACTAAAGCCATTAAAAACTTAGTCAGATATGGTTTGATCAACATAATGCTTTCTTCTCTTTTTTTGTTTTATTCTTTACTTAGCAAAATGTGATTTAGGGCTTTATTTTGGTGTGTTTGGGGTTTTTTTCCTCCATAATTTAAACGATTTGTACCAAAAATAAATTGCTTCCAGCTGACTGAAGGCATAGGAAAGTTTGGGATCTGTTTCTTAGAGAGCCCAGTGTAGCCTTGGGGTATGAATGGTGTGATGTAATCATGTCACACAGTTTATTCTTGGACTCAAAACCACAGACCTTCCCGTGGGTCTGTGGTGTTAAAGGACCCTGATGCTTGCATCGTTACTGGCCATCACTGCTGTTCTCTTTTAATCCTTTAAGATTCCCTGTTTGATTGCCATTCTTATTAGGAGTGGAAATGATGTTCTTCACCGGCAGGCGTTTCTGCCATAGCCGCTTTTTAGGAGCGCTAAGCAATTATATTCATACCTAGTCGAGGTCTGCCAGCACAGTCTTTTGTGAATGCAACAGGCAAGTCAGTGGGCCCTTCTGCTAGCTTAATTTTGTGTTATCCAAGAGATACAGCTGTACTGTCAAAACTCCTCTTGTTAGGATGAGTGATCTATCTGCTAGAATGCTCTGCCTGGGACCAAATCAATTTGTCAGTTAAGGATAACTTAGTTTTTTCCTATTACTCTCTATGACAATGTGAGGAAAGTGTTGCATTAACTTAGTCTGGTGGCTTCTCCTTTTCACTAAGTTTTAAGCACTTTAATGATGCTTTAGTGCTCAGTCATGAGTGCAACTTTTAAATGAAAACCAGCCAAATTTGCTCAGATATAGTAGAAGACCTGGGGAACTGGAAATCTCTGTGAACTCGGTGTCTGTCTTGTATCCACATGTGAACTAAGAAACATTCTAACACAAATAATAGGTTGCTTAAATAAAGCCACTACAATTTGTTAGAGCAATTCAAATCCTATTCTTTATGTAACTGTTCCTTCTAAAAAATAATTTGTGGTTACTTCAGTAAAATAGATTTTATGCAAATAGGTATGTGGGGATTTCAAAGGAAGGCGTGGTACTTGAATATCAGTAATGAGCTGGTTGGCACATTATTGCTGCTATCTACAGAAATTTTACCCTCTTCTGTAGACCACAGAATAGAAGGTAGCATTTTTCTTGAATTTACTAGGTTAGCTGGATCAATTTTTGAAGCTCTTTTTCTTTCAGGTTGCTAGGAGGGTTCTGCAGTGCTTCCAGCCCCTTCCAGCTGTAGCACTTGGGGGTCTACGACAGGCTTGCCAAATATCTTTTGAATAATGCTACAAATAACCCACCATTTATTTTCAAAATTCTTGTTGTTGTAGGTTGTTAACTTTGTGTTGTGTCTAAGAAATTAACTTACCCTTTTGTTACCTAGGAGCTGTCTAAGATTACGATGCCTATTGTCTTCAACGAGCCACTGAGTTTCCTTCAGCGGATAACAGAATATATGGAACATATATACCTCATTAATAAGGCTTGTAGTCATGCAGACCCTCTGGAAAGAATGCAGGTAACTGCTACCACCTTCTGGCTAGTTCAGAAGAAGTTTTTCTTTCCCAAAATCATAGAATCATAGAATGGTTTGGGTTGGAAGGGACCTTAAAGACCATCTAGTTCCAACCCCCTGCCATGGGCAGGGACACCTTCCACTAGACCAGGTTGCTCCAAGCCTCATCCCGCCTGGTCTTGGACACTTCCAGGGATGGGGCATCCACAGCTTCTCTGGGCAACCTGTTCCAGTGCCTCCCCACCCTCTCCGTGAAGAACTTCTTCCTGATTTCTAATCTAAACCTCCCCGCTTTCAATTTAAACCCGTTACCCCTTGTCCTGTCACTACAGGCCCTTGCAAAAAGTCCCCCCCCAGCTTCCTTGTAGCCCCTTCAGGTACTGGAAGGCTGCAATAATGTCTCCCTGGAGCCTCCTCTTCTCCAGGCTGAGAATCATTTTAAGACAATTTCTCACTTGAGTGCATTTGCTTCTTGGGGGCTATCATAAGAATTCCCATATTTGTCTGTACAGACAATTTTCTTTGTTTTTCATGGCTCTGTGAGAAATTTGTGACCCTTTCACTCTTGATGATGTGCACAGAGATTGAGCCAAAAGTCTGGCGTGGGAGTGTGCCACAACCGACGATGCCCAAGGACCTCAACCACTTTCAGGACCTCTTTAACTGTGGCTCTTTGTGGTTTTATGTGTTCTGAAGATGAGATCTTGGCTTTAAGTCATCCTAAATTGATTTCAGTGGCTCCATGATTTTTAAGTTACTGCATGAAAAACTGTTGTGGCAGAGACAAGCTTTATTGCTCTTCTCCAAAACTGGTTGCTGTTGGGAGTAGAATATGGAAGCAACAAGGAACTGAACGTGGTGAAACCAGGCTGTATGGTACATTAGGCTGTACTGGTATTGCTCACAGCTCTGGTTTTACTTAAGTGAAACTGGAACAAATGTCTTGTATTCTGTGCCTGTGTATCCCTGCTCACCGGCCTGCAGGAACTCTGTCATTTGTACCTGCTGGTAGGATTCAAGAAGTCTCACCTGTGTGAGAAATGCTTGCCTGACACTAGGAAAAGCAAAACTGTTCCCAGTCAGCTGAGTGTAGGGGACAGTCACAACAGGGGAAAACAAGATTTTAAAAAAACAGGCTGTCCTCTGAGAGGTAGGTGGAGAAGTGTGAAACAGAGTGTAACCTGGCAAAATCTACTACAGAAAATAATTCCTTTTGGAAATGAGGTTCTTACTGACTGCTTGTATTTCCCCACTTCTGTATTGCTTACCCGATGACTTACAAATGTTTTGGCCTTAAGCAACACATCGTGCACTCTTTTTGGAAGAATGATGACATACTATAACGTGCCACAAACACAATATATTAAACTCGCAGTTTAATGTCCTGTTCTCATAGCAATGTGTTCTTAATTTGCGTGCAGGCCGTAGCTGCTTTTGCAGTTTCTGCTGTAGCTTCTCAGTGGGAGAGAACTGGCAAACCATTTAACCCGCTGTTAGGAGAAACCTATGAATTAACCAGGTAATAATTACTTTAAATTGGGAGCTGGGGCTATTTGTGTTCTTGAGTTAGACTTTCATACTAGTTAGTTTGTTTATGCAGTGAAATAATAATAATAAAAAAAAATATATATCTGAGCATAGCTAAGATTGTTTTATTCAATTTACCTCAAAATCTTTGGGAAGTTGTTATAAAAGCTAATGATTTTATTTCTATGTTTAGGCAGAGTATTTGAATTATGCAGAGAAAAAATGGTCTGTGTTCTTCCACCAAAGCCATTTACTGACCAGAGGCTATTAATTAATTTAAATAGTGTTTTGCTGATCTTGTCAGGAGGTTGAAGGACTTCCAGCTTGCTTAAATCAACGCTGATATATCTGCAGTGGGGCAAAGACTTCTCAGTCGGTCCTGCTGCTGCCCAAACTCATTTTGGTATTTTCAAGAGTAATTTCAGGGAAACTTCTTCAACTGCCTTTCTGGGTAAAAAGTCATTTAGGTGTGTGTAATGTGGCTTGATTTTTGGGTATGAAGGGAAGGTGTTCAGAATACAATTTCGTTCATTTCATTCATTGTAAATGTGTTGTGGGACTAGAAAAGGAGAAGTCTCACCTTCAGTTTATTCTAAAAATCCTTCAAACTTTTTCAAAGTATCAAGTAACTCTTTTGTAACATTAAAAAATATATTACTGTTTAATGCTCTTTTTTGTTGTTGCTAGGGAGGATTTAGGATTCAGGTTTATATCTGAGCAAGTCAGCCACCACCCACCTATTAGTGCATTTTATTCTGAAGGCCTCAATAAAGACTTTATTTTTCACGGATCAATCTATCCCAAACTAAAATTCTGGGGGAAGAGTATAGAAGCAGAGCCTCGGGGAACAATTACTCTGGAGCTTCTGAAGTGAGTATGAGAAGTAAATACCTTTTATATGTTGGTGTCCTTAAAGTTTACTTGAATAAAAAAGATTGGTGATAATCATCCTGTTGGTCCTTCATAAGTGATTATCTTAAAGCCTCTTGCTGCAGAGGTGGTAAGAGTTTATTTACGAGTTAATTTTCACTCCTTAATTGCGGGGCTGTGTTTTATGTTCTGCCATGCTTGTATAGCTGTAGCAATTTGACCCAGTTTTTCCATTATGAAAATTAGCATTTCTTAAAAACTGAATGCTACTGAAAGCTAGTTCTGTGAAGGCATGTAAAATTAAAATAGGGAGATAAAATCCTATTACCAGACTATTAAAATCCTATTACCAAGCTCGTCTTGCTTTTAAATATTGTTGTGGGTTTTGATTGTTTGTGTGCATATATTCATGTGGAAAGAGCTGCCTCTTCGGAATAGCTGTTCTGTGTGATAAGGGAACGTGAGTAACTTGTCAGGTTTGCCTTGTCACCCATGGAACACTTTGTGTATGATCACCTCCCTATTAAAATCAAGAACACCTCTCCAGATCACTCCTAGGCGTGTCTCAAAGTGCCTTTGTCTCTCATAAATTACATGACTTGCCCTGAATTGGTTTGTGCCCTGGGTGGCACAAAGACTCCTGAGCTTTCCCAGGTAGGACCCAAGCATGCACTAGGCACTAGTCGCAGAAAAAGCCTTCTGCAGTTGAATGCTTAAAGGTGCTTTTAGCCAAGCTTTCCTCAGGCCTGACCGAGGTTATTCTGAAGCATCATCTTAGGAAAATTCTAGACATTTGGTTTCGATAAGGAGTCGACTTGCCGGCCGGATCAAGCACTGACTTTTCCTGCCGTTTCTTTTGAAGGTTTGTTTTTTCAAGCTGCTGGCACCTAACCTTCCAAAACTTAGAAAAGTATGAACTGGGCTTGGATATAAGTGGCGATGGAAATAGAGGAAACCTCTTCTGAATGCAGAAAGAGCTGTGAATGCTAGTGTAGAATGCAGACGTGACAGAAGTAAGGTTTGTTGCTGGAGAGACAGCCTTTATTTAGAAGACTATTAAAGTTCTTGCTCTGCCTAATCAAATTACCGGGCACGGATTTAGACTGGAGTGTAAATGATTAAAGCATTTATTTTAAATAATTGCTTCAAGTTAGCAGCAGAGGTTGAAATAAAACGTTGAGCCTCTCGGTGCTGTGATTCGTCCCGTTCTGTTGGTGCGAGCCGTCTGAGAGCTGCTCAGGGCCCGAGTGAACAAGTAACTTGGGGGGAGCAAAACTACAAGCCGTGTTAAGCACTGCATTTACGTTAACCATGACTGTGTTTTCAAAACATGCACAGGGACTTCTCCAGCACTAACAAGGGTTTATTAGCACCAGCCACGTGTGTCTTGTGTTTTGTTTTATCCTATTACGCTTTTGGTGTCAAGTAGCTCATGAATGGGAATGTGTGCTAAGGCTGGTAGGATAAAGTTGGGGGGTTTTAAATTTTTTTTTTTCCCCCCACTTGAAGAGTAGCAATTGTTCTAAAGTATGCTTGGAGACAGTTTGCTGTGGAAGACAGCAAGACTTCAATAATCTGTTTTTTCTCTGTACTGGAAAATGACAGACCAGTTGGAAACATTAAAATAGGAGCATTTTCTCTGTACTTACTGGAAGTAGGAGTACAAGCCATTTGTTACAGAGGACACTGCTTATTTCTTATTTTTTGCATTAAAATAGTTTTGCATGCTTTCCTAAGATGGATTAATTGCCAGGTAACTTTTACCAGCATGGAAAGATGTGTGAGAATAGCTGGCTTGGACTCTGCTGAGCTAGTGGTGATAGGAATCCTTTTGTTTTAACATTTTGACCACTTTCAGAATAATGTCTTCTAAGGATTTAAAATCTCTTAATTCATCTTTCTGAAGCTTTTCACAAAGCATTAAAAAAAATCTTCAATTCTATGACTTTCCCTTCTCAGTAAATCTTTGGGAAAAGGAATGAATTGAGTAATAAATTGGATTTTTAAATGTCATGTTTATGAAGCTTGAATGTAGCGCTGTTGTCTCCCAGTGATATTAACCAACCAACCAAAAAAAACCCCACAAACACCCCCAAAATTGCTTCCAGTGACTGAAGCAGGCCTCCTGCACTGATGTGGAACTTGTGGCGTATCTGTGGAAGCCACTGATGCAGTTGCTGACCTGTGTCACTCTGTTCAGGTTCAAAAGCCTTCACCACCCAGTAAAATGAGAAATTGTTTGTGGGTTAGTGTGGGCAAACCTCAGGGAGGAGCGTCTTCCTACCGAACCTTTGGCAGAACTGGTAGTGACTAAGCTCTCTGCTGGAAAACTCAAATATTTACGTTCAGGGCTGGTTTTGTCACAAGAAGGTTCTCTCTCGGTTAGGACAGAGGTTTACAAGAAGGAGCTTTAGGAATAAGTTTGGCTGAGTCGAAGGCACCGCTGGGCGTTAGTTTGTCAGTCCAGTTCGGGTATCAGTGTTATGTTTTATCACATACAGCTTTCAAAGAGCAAATGGAAAAGACTAATTCCTGGACTGCTGTTTATGTTGGGCTGGAATTTGTAATCAAAAGCGCAGCAACTGTAAAACTTACCATTCCAACTCCGTGAGAAGGAAGAAAAATAAAGGGGCTATCACTGTATTAACTTGCACTAATGTTTAGATACAACACATTGTTGGCTTATAAAGAAGAGTCTGTTTCTTTTCTGTTATGAAGTTATGTGCTGGCTGCTCACAGGAGTGCTAAATATTTTGCCCTGCCACGAACAGAACTGCAAACAGGCTTACATTCCATCTCAAGCGCAAGAAAATGATTTATTTTTCTGTTTTTCTTTACAGACATAACGAAGCTTACACATGGACAAATCCAACCTGTTGTGTACATAATGTAATTATTGGTAAACTGTGGTTAGAACAGTATGGAACGGTAGAAATTGTAAATCACAGGTAATGCTGATCGTGAAACTGAGGGTTGGCTTGTAGGGGCTGGTACATGCTCACTTGTGACAAAGCAGATAGTTTTGACTTTTGTAGGGCACACAGGAGGCCTTGTTTTGGCCTCCTGTGTGCTTGACAAAAAAAGATGTCCAGTGTCTTGTCTTTTTTTTTTTTCTTCTTTTCCGCTTCTGTCCAATGCAAACTATTCATTGAACTGGGCTTAGTATCTTAGTAATATAAATGAAAAGGCCCAGGGCGAGATGGCTTATGGGATACAAAGCTTTTACATTTGTGAGTTACCCATTCAAATTCATCTCTATTGACAGAGAACAGAAATTGAATTTAACTCCAGAACCATTAAGTAGAATAATTGTTGGAGGTTTGTAGTGGGCCCCTGTCATGTTGGTTGCGACTTTGTGCTCTTTCTGATAACAGAGAATGTCTTAAATTAAGGGTACAGCACAGAAAAATGACTGCAGAGTAGGGTAATGTGAACTTGGGCATGGGAATTGCTCCGCCAACTGCCTCTTTTTTACCTTATATAAAAATAAGTGGCTCTATATAACATAAGTTACCTTCTGTAGTGATGAGGGAAAGAATTTTGTGATAACTATACTTCTGCACATGTTTTTCTGTCAATAAACGGGAGCTTTAATCCAGCAGGGCTGCTGTTTTGATACTTTTCATAGCATCAAAGCTACAATCCCGTCTCCTGTATTTGCCCAAAAGACCCAGGATGGTCTCTGTGTGCTTTGTGCATGACACAGAACCTTGGCCTGATACCGCACTGGGAGAGTTTTACTCAGACGTACATCGCAGTGCAAGGAAGATGCTGAAATATAGTGCTGGTTTATGTTTGTAAAATGTTTAGTTTAGAATTTTTAAAATGCACTTTCGACGTAGCTTTTGAATGCACGTAACTAGATTTTCCTGTGTAGGTCGTCTGTAAAAGTTACTTCTCATTACACTTAGCTGTAAATAAATACTAATCTGAAATTCGAAGGGTTAACAGCCTGGGTTGAGTGGTAAACAAGACTGCATTCCTCTTTATTCCTAGCACTTTTCATAAACTTGAGATATACATCAAACTCAGAAGTGTGGTCATGATTTCAGCTGGCTTTCCCAGGCTGATTCCTTCATGTGCACCTTGATTCCTTTTTTGTCCTTTCTGTGGAATTTTGGAATTTCTGTGCCTTTTTTAATGCCCTGGTCAGATAATAAACCATAGCTAAAGAAAAAATATATAAATAACTACCACCCAGCTAACTGTAGCTATATGTGAAAAAAGCTAAATAAGGTAAAAAAGTAAACTTCCTAATGTATTTAGGGGCTTGCTCCTTCATGCATGTACTTATTTCCTCTACAGTACTGAAGATAAATGTGTCCTCAATTTTAAACCCTGTGGATTGTTTGGGAAAGAGCTTCACAGAGTAGAGGGTTACATTCAGGACAAAAAGTGAGTGACAAAAGCCTCTTGGCCTCTCTGTTTCTGAGCACTGCGGCATTTCTTTTGCTGGCACAGTGAGCACAACTGGTGTGACTGCAGAGCTGCTAGCAGTGTGTGCTGTAACCCATTTTGGTTCTCTGTGTCAGTATGAGACCCCTTGATTTAATACCGAAGCGAAAGCTAAGTCTGCTTTGCTTTCTCTGCAGCAGAAAGAAGCTGTGTGTGATCTATGGGAAGTGGACAGAATGCTTATGGTGCACTGATCCCACCACGTACGAGACTTACAAAAAGAATGAAAAGAGAGGTGGTGAGCAGAAGAAGTTGAAGCCGGTAAGGTGAAGGATTCTTTAGGGAGAAATGACACTGACATAGGAGAAATGAAAGGAAAACACCTTCTTTACAGAAATGGTCAGGAGGTGGTGAATGGAGGGTTAAAACTGGTTTTTGGTGGGGGTCAGAGCTGGGCAGTGTTCGTCCCAGGAGAAGGCGTTGCACTTGTGTGGACTTTAGTGTGAGCTGGTGGTATTGGAGAGCTCACAGAAATGTTTTTTGCTAGGGATTTGTCAGAGAAGTCATCAAATATCAATGCCCAAGCTGATGTTGTCCAGTCCTTGAATGAGGAAAATGGCTCTGCCTACTCCAGATGTAAAAATACTAGGATATGGGCATTTAAAAAAGGATAATTACATGGTTTTTAAGTCAGTTATGCTTTTTGGTGGTGCAGCTTTTCCAAACTTATTATGTAGACAGCCTGGACCACGAAGGGTCTGGAAACACGCTGAGTTTTTTCCTCACGTGTAAGCAGTGTCAGGTCAGTTACGGCCCAAGCCTCAGCTTTACGCGGGAAATGCAAAATGTGGTATGGTGCAGCAGAGGACTCTTGGGTTTCCTGATATCAACAGGGCCTCACAGACCCTGGTTGCTCACTGAAAATGAGAAGTTGAACAGAAACTGCCCACTCTTAATGTTAAGAGGCTCAAACTGTTGCTGGAAAGTATTCATATCAGAAGTATTCATAAAGCAGCAACAGGCCTTACTTCTGGCTCTGGATTCTGTCATGGTACAAGCTTATATTTTGACTTTTTAAAAAAAAACAAAAAGGTTCTGTTCATCTTATGAAAATCAACTCTTTCCTTCCTTCCTGTTGAATCTATATTTAGATGGGGAACTGTCTAACAGTAAACCAGATGTTGACATGGAAAGTAGCCTAAAAGTCTTTTTAGATAATGAATACTCAAACCAAATGATTGAAATTAGACTCTTAACCATATGGAGCTGTTTTCTGGTGTATAAAACAGGCCCTGTTTAACTTAATGGGGTATTTTTGAATAAAATAAATGAGTCGTGTCAGAGGGGGCAGAAAGAAAGTAGGAAGGGGTGGGGCGGAAACTGTGATACTATCACTCTACGATGTTGTTGCCTCAAACTTGCTTTCTGGTTGTTGTGTTTTTAAAGGGTTTCTCAGGGTAAAATCCTTTGAAATTCCACCATGAAGCTGTCTGTGTCTTAACAACAGTCAGATTCTCTGATTCCCTCAGATGCCGAGAGCAGCCTCTTGAGGAATACAGCATTTGATTCATATGTGCAGTGTAGTAATGCATCTGCTAACAAAGGAATGGAAGGAAAGACAGTCTATCTATAAACTTAAGTACACAGTCCTCATAGTGCGAAGGTTGGCAGTGATAGTAGTTGTTAGAGCCTAGCTCGTAGGCAATCCGAGTGGAACAAGGGCATTTCCGCAGGTGGTGAGCGAGCGGTTGTGTGGTGCTTAGTTGCTGGCTGGTGTTAAACCATGATGGCCATCATCCCCATCTTTTGCAAAAGATGGAGCAATAACCAAAGGCAGGCATGCTCTTCTATCTTTCTCAGGCCATTATGGGAACGGGTTTAAATTGCATTCTTGGCTCATTTTAACTGAAGAAGTAATGGCCATTTCAGGTGAAATGAAGCTATGGCATGGGATAGAAGGGAAGCTAGAGAAAAGATTCCTGAAAGACATTAATTTACTATTATTGGGGTTTTTTTAACAGACATTCAAGTTGTACATAGTTGGTGGGGGACTATTCGGAGATATCAGGAGCAAGACATGATAAAAATGAGAGGGATAGTGTACAGAGTGAGGAAAAACAACACTAAGGGTGAGGCAGAAGTACAGGAGAGTGTTTAATATCTCAAATTTGAACAGATTCTTCAACAGTCACTGTAGAACTCTAGATGAAGCTGTCCAACTTCCCTTTGTTCCCCTGCCAAACGTTATCTCTGTTTCAGAGTGAAGATGTTATTAAATCCGAAAATGATGAGGCTGATGATATGCCAGAGGTTCAAGACACAGTGCAGTTCATACCAGGCAGTAAATTGCTTTGGAGAATAAATTGTAGGCCACCGAACTCATCACAGGTAACTGCTTCAATCAGTCTGTGTCTCGCTATCGCTAGTGACGTGTCCAGGGGAACATGAGTAATGATGAGGGGAAGCCTTGGTGAAGTGTCTGGCCTTAGCATGCGTCTTGACAGGCCCTGGCAGTGCTTGCTGCAGCCGTGAATCTGTGCTACAGCAAGGTCTCTGCTTCCTTCCTGTGCCGAAAGCATCTCTGCTACGTCGAAGTTGGTAGAAAGAATGTGTGCTGGGACTGCAGCTGCTTTGGCGTGAGTCTGGTGGCTGGGGTTAACCTGTCTGCGAGATCTCTGCGCTTGGGGTGGCTAAAATATGGATGCGCGTTCCCTTCTGCTGACCCTGCTGTTAGCAGACAGGCTGCCAAAAATTGCTCTAACTGGGCAGATATTAACTTCAGTAGTTTCAACAAGACTTTTTGGGCTTTTAGGTGTGGGTGTGTTTTTCACAGAAATCATGATGGTAAATATCAGATATGGAGGAAAATCTGTCTGGATCCTCTGAAGCAAAAACTGCTTAAAAAATGAAAGCTGTGATTCCCATCCCCTTCTGCCCTTCCTTGTCCCTCCCCTCCACCAAAAAACCCCTAGTTTTGTATGAACCTAACCTTGCTCTCAGACTAGCCAGTGGGAGGAGGTTTGACTCTGCAACACAACTTCCCCGAGAAGTGACATTCTTTCGATCTAGGAAACCTGGTGCCACTTTGCCGAAATAACTTGCTGTCTTCAATTTGCTTTTAAGATGTACAATTTCACCAGCTTTGCTGTGAGTCTCAACGAGCTAGAAAAGGGCATGGAAGCAATATTAGCTCCCACTGACTGTCGGCTACGTCCAGATATCAGAAATATGGAAAACGGAAACATGGGTATGTGTTTGCTGGAGGAAGTAGTTTCACATTAGTAAGTTTTGAGAGGGAACACCGAAGGGAGGTCGGTTGATGCAGGAACGCTGTCTTCTTTCTCATTCCCAGTAACTTTTTTGCTTATGAACAATGTATGATGTCTGTTTTCTCCCAGAAAGGTCTGGGAGAGCAAATGTGCCCAAGGTAGATTCCAAGCTGTCCTATGTTAGGGTGTATTTGCATGTTCGTTAACCTGGGGGGACCTGGCAGACGGGAGCTCTTGCTCTGGAGTCTGTCTGGACAGACACGTGGTGATCAGACATGCTCTCTTGCTCTGGTGCTTGTCTGAAAAACACATGTAGCAAAACAGGGGGAAAAAATCTTTATTATGCCAAATCGAAGTTCTTCCCTGCTGTCTCGGTGCAGTGTTCCTGATAGCTAAACCACCAAAATTTCAGTGTTGACTCTGTGTTTGTGGTAGCAGCTTTTCTGAAATGATTGTTGCCTGAGATTTTCATTGTCAGTGAGACCGTGTGCAGCAAACGCTTTCTCTTGCTTAAATGAACTACATTTCATTTCTCTCCGGTCTTTTCTGCATTTTCTGCATTTTTGTTTCTATTTTGCTAAGTAACCGATTTCTCTCAACGTTTGTTAGATGTGGCTAGCAAGGAAAAAGAGAGACTAGAAGAGAAGCAAAGAGCTGCTCGCAAGGAGCGTGCAAAAGATGAAGTGGAGTGGCACACACGGTAAGGGGGAAGGAGGTTGGGTGTCTGTTTAATACTTGGAATGGTTTGGTGTACTGCTCGAAATGTTTTTATTCGAGTCAGCCTGCGTTTGATTTCCCCCCTGACAGCACAGTTAGTAGTGTCACGTAAAGCATTTGCTGGGTCAACAAAATAATGCAGCTGGAAGCCAAAATTGCCGATAACTTTGTCCTGGAGAAAATATCTAGTAACAAATGCTGAAAGCTGTCATAGTGAACTGCTGTGGTAATGCTGGAGTTCTGGGGGTTGTTTTTTAAAACCTCCAGCAGTCATGGTTTTGTGAGGATGAATAAAATACTGTCGCATCTCTCCTTTAACCAATTCCTATCCAGCTTTTGGCAGTTGAGTAAGACTTTGGGGCCCTCTAGGGCCTTTTGACACTCTCAGGACTTCTTGGCTTGGATGTTTCAGAAATAGCTTTTTTGATTACATCTGGAAGTGACTTCCTAGGCACAGAATGCGTCGCGGAGTAATGTGGGATTTGGCTTCTGCTCCCACTGGTGTCTTTTCACGACTGCCAATGCTACGCAGTCAGGTGTACGGTCACGGCCAGTTACTGCAGGCGCTCGCCGCAAAGGCGAGAATTTGGGGTGCTCCCATGGATTCATGAAATTCAGAAGAGAAAGCATTCTTCTCCCAAAGCCTGGAGGAGCAGCTACAGACTAATTTCAGTTAAGGCCTTTGAAAAATCTCTTCCAGAGAACACAGAATTGTTTTCAGTCACCGTGGCTAAAAAGTGAGCACCTGTTAATGTTCTGGGCAAAGTACAGTTCCGCAGAAGAAAACCGTGTCCAGTTTGGACAGGTTTACAACAAGGGTTGTGTAACTGATTTGGCATTCTTTTCAAGCAAAAAGTAATATCTATAATCTGTATATAATCCAGAGTATCAATGTTATTTTTAGGTGCAAGGGGACGGGCATTTTAAAATCCATTTCACGCTCCTTCTTGACTTTATGTAAAAAAAAGTAATTAATGAAGGATGCTGTATGAGATGTGGTGATAGCTGTGTGTGAAGCGCAGTGTCTTTATTTTTCATGTTCAGAATATTTCCTGAGGTGGCTTTTTTTTTGGATAAGAACTACCAGTGTCTTTTTACAATATTTGTGAAAGAAACAAAGTTGATTTTTTCCCTATTAGTAACTGTTCACTCTGTTTCCTTTTTTCTTTTATTGTTTCTTTTTTTTAATTTTATTTTCCAGGTGGTTTCATCAAGGCACTAACCCCTACACTGGGACCTCAGATTGGCTGTACTCAGGTGGCTATTTTGATAGAAACTTCTCAGACTGTCCAGACATATACTGAAACTCCAGAGCCAATCGCTCATCTCATCTGGACATCCCGTTACTAGATTTCATTCCAAGCCAGTTGCTCTGGTTTTGTTGATAGCAAAAACCAGCTTTTCTAGGTAAATTTTAACAAAAATTCTATCGGTCAACAATCAAAGAGTTAATTATCACTAATGTTGGATTGCCAAATATTTAAATGCTGTTGCATTCTTTCCATAAAGCTGCACCTGAAATCATCGTGTTCTCACTAATTTTCAAAGGGACCTGTAGTTGTTCATTTTTTTCCCTAGTTTCTTTGTCAGGAAGATACGCTGTATCTGGTAGAGCACATAACATCCTTGAAAACTACGTAACTTAAATAAAATAGAGGTAATATCCTTGTTACTTAGTACAATAGTGAAGAATCTGAAGTTTCTGGAACTCGGAGGAGGGATGGAAAGCTAACATGGTACCAACAGGATCAAATCTAGTACGGTCGATACTCCCCGTGACGAGATGCACGTGAACTTCCGTACGGTATGTAGCACTACGTGGGGACTGGAGGTCCTGGCCCCTCTCTCAATACGGTTCAGTAATTCAGAGACTTGGGGGAACAAAAGAAACCCCAACCTGAGCTTCTCAAACTGTAGTTGTCTGTTACAGAGTCTTCACAACTTTTTTGGACACTGTGAGCATTAAACTGTGTACCTGTGATAAAATGACATAAAGCATACGTTAGGAGAAGGGAAGGGTACCTTAAAACAGTGCTTTTCCTGGAGTCAAACGCTGTTCTTGCAATAGGAGAAGCTTCGGAAGCAACTGTAGGAATGTAGAGGTGGTTACAATGTAAAATATATTGCTTGCTACCACTTGGAGGCTTAAATCTTCTGCACTACCTATGGCAGCTTTGGCACTCTGTATGCTTCTAGACGAAACTTTTATTTGGAAGCACTTTGGTATGTATATCCACACAGGCTCATATTTTGGGGAAGTTTCGGTTTGCATGTTTTTCATTCTGAGGTCATGTCTGTTTTGTATGTTGTGAAAAAGCAGAATCAATTCAAAGCTTTGGCAGACTTATACCTGTTACAAGTTTTCTGTGAGCATGTGCTGTCAAAAAGTGGGAATTTTTTGTTCCATATCGAACCATCGAAGCCATATAATACTGGAAATAATCAATTACCAGTGATGCATTAATTTCCTGTAAGTGGTACGCTTCGGTGGGTAGGAGGGAGAGAGGCTTGAAAAATTAGGTCCAGCAATTAAATCTAACTCTCATGTTTTATGAAAGTTTTTAATTGAGTAACCAGGCAAAAACGGAAAGCAACTAAGTTTGCAGTAATTCAGAAATTGCTGGTTTTAAGCACCAGCAACTTGAGGCAGTCTTGGGAGGACCTGGTCTGATTGATGTCAAAACACACCGGTGGTTTTGCCCGGAAGAGCAGATTTTTTCAAGTGCTTCTCTCCCAGCTACAGGATTAAAAATAAAAGAAAATTAACATACTCACAGAGAAACATTTTTGTATCAAATCATGCATCTAACGATTGGATTAACTTGACATTTTTTTGAGGTTTAGTTGTTGTCTTCATTTGGAAAAAAGAAGAGAAGCTGTAAAACTTCAAGGCAATAAATAAGGGCCTAGTCTGAAATGTGCTCGTGGCAACTTTTGTTCTGTTGCCAGAAATCGTACTTTGTGCTGATTGCAAGCCTTCAGGGCTCACAAGCTCGGCTTGGTGATACGCTGCGGGCAGTAGGCTTGTATTTGTTCCTAATCATCAACACTTGACTTTTTAAGACACTTTTCTGATCCATATGGGACGGCGTAAAAATAATTCCTATCAAAAATTGAACGTTAATGACCGCGCCAGGCACTGTAACCCCCTTTCCAAACTCACCGCAAGCAGCGTAGGGAACCCTCTGTCAGGTGAGGATTGAAGGGATGCACGTATTAAGCCAGTCTGATATCTCATGAGAGTTTGAAACCTGCTTAAACTGAATAGTATGGTTAATGCTGGACTGGTGTTTTTAAAACAATACGTATACACAGAAATCGCCTGAATGGAAAAACTGGAGAGTAATTGACGGCTAAAGGAACGCTGTGTTTGTAAGCAGTGTGCAGGTTAGCATCCCTCTTGCCTAAGTTATAATTGACATTCAAAGACCAACACCCTTTTCATTGTGAAAGCAGGAAAAAATTGTAAACAGCGTGTGTAATCCAAACTTCAGTGTAGCATCCTTGTGGGAGTTAAAAAGAAACTGGGAAGATTTCTAAAGAACACTTCATCAGTGACATCTTTACTGCCTTCTCCCTTTCCTTTAGTGTCAAGTTGTTAGCAAAATTTCATATTAGTCCCAAATCGATTTTTTTTTTAATTTATAGTTCTTCACTGACCACACAGCCCTTTCCCCTCACTGCCGCCGTCTCTGCCTGCCTGGCCATGGGACTCCTGATGCCGCCTTTCATTGCTCTGAGAGAGCTTTATTTTCCATGCAGATCTTGTCTCAGTAGTTTACGTGTCAAAACATGAATAACTTTGCACCTTTTGAAAGAATGTTGCTTTTATAACTTGATTAAACACTGTATATACGATACCTGTGTTAGTATATGTTAATACAGCTGTGTAGAGAAACTGTCTAGAAAGAAATGATAATAAATCCTTCCTGCCCTTTGGGCCTCTAGATGGTGACAGTTTTGTAAGTGAGACTTTTGTACCAGGGCAGGATGGCTGGGGCTGACTCTGGCTTTCTTCAGCCTTTTTGATTTCACCCTGATGCTCATTAGAAGATGGTTAAACCCATCAGGGCGTTGGAAACCCCCATCCCGCCGTCCAGGCTTTTTTCCCAGCGCCGGGTGGGCTCAGTTCCCTGCAGCACACGGGATCCAAGAAGTGTGGGGTGACAGCCAGGGCCCCGCAAGTGGCCTTGGGAACCTGCGAGGTGGCAGGGAAGGCGGTGGGTTGGGGCCTGATGCTGATGTGGTGGCGAAGAGACCGAGTGGTGGCTGGAGCAGGGGGGCAAGGGGACTCTTACCAAGAAATGTAGTGGAAAACGAACTTCACGGTGGCTGCCTTCGTGTCTTTGAGGTGACATCACGGTAAACTGGGAGCAGCTTTTTCAGACAGTGGGTGTTTATGGGATTATTGGTACCCAGATTAATGAGGATAGGCACTAAACACCTAATTAGCAGCATTTACTCCTGTTTCCTAAGTAGAATAACTTCTCGGTAATTTTTTCTTGCGGAAAAGTGTTTTCTGACATCTACCCGAGTGGCGGTGGGGGCGGCCACCCTGCA